ATCAAGAGTCAGTCAACTACGCATTTTAACTAGATATATGGAAGTAAATGGTGGAAGAAACAAACAAATCATAGGACTGGCGATGGGGGTGAGGATAGGGGAAGTAGGAGGCAAAGAAATAATGTTTTTTCTATTTAAGCTTTTTAGTACTGTTTTTTTTTCTTCAAGTTTACGTGTCTGTATTATATGTTTATTCAAAGCTAAACTAGTTGTCTTAAGTTTTATTTTTTAAAATTTTTTATATAATTTATTGTCAAATTGGTTTCCATACAACACCCAGCGCTCATCCCAACAGGTGCCCTCCTCAATGCCCATCACCCACTTTCCCCTTCCCCGCCCATCAACCCTCAGAGTTTGTTCTCAGTATTTAAGTCTCTTCTGGTTTGCCTCCCTCCCTCTCGGTAACTTCCCTCCCCCTTCCCCTTCCCCATGATCTTCTGTTAAGTTTCTCAGGATCCACATATGAGTGAAAACATATGGTATCTGTCTTTCTCTGCCTGACTTATTTCACTTAGCATAACACTCTCCAGTTCCACCCACGTTGCTACAAATGGCCAGTTTTCATTCTTTCTCATTGCCAAGTAGTATTCCATTGTGTATATAAACGACATCTTCTTTACCCATTAGTCAGTTAGTGGATATTTAGGCTCTTTCCATAATTTGGCTACTGTTGAAAGTGCTGCTATAAACATTGGGGTGCAAGTAGTGCCCCTATGCATCAACACTCCTGCAGTACTGTTTTTCTTGAGTTACTATGCCAGGGACAGCATCCAGGTGGCTTTACATGTATTATGTCACAACACTTATGAGATAGATATTAGTACTTGTACTTTACAGATGAGGAAACTGAGGTACACAGAAGTCAAGCAATTTGAAAAAAGTCACCTAGCTTGTAAGTAGTGCTGCTGGGAATTGAATCAAGCAGTCTAGCTTTAGAATTTACACTTTCCTGGTTTCCATCAATAAACTCGCAATAAATATCATGTAATGCTTAAACCTCAGATTTCAAGATCAATGTCCCATAATATTTTGCTCCCTAGCTTGACAAATCATATTCTAACCACTATATTTTTCACTTCAAGTGGAACAAATTTAAAAGAAATAAAATAATATACTCACTTAGGATGAAAATCAGGCCTAAACCCTTCAGGAAGCTGTAATTCATCTAGATTTTCTGAATTCTTTGAAGAAGCAGTATCTAGACAGAAATAAGCATTTTACATTATTATTCATCAGTCTACAGCATTTCTATAAATGTCACTCATAAATTTTATTCTGAATATAGGTCAAAGAAATTTAAAAAATGACAGGAAAAATTTCCATTAATAAAGACTGGCACGAGATACATTCAGGGCATGAGAAATACTATTGTTGATTAACCAAGGCACCTTCTGTGATCAACTACACTTTTCCTAATATTATAGCCACCAGAACACAGCTAGGGAAGGTAAGGAGAGTATGTTGTTTTCTTTCTATAAAAACCAATGGTATAAATTCTGCTCAGATGGCTTTCGCACAGGTCGTTAAGTGCAGTACATGTTTATGAAACTTGGGAGGTCTTTGGTAATGCCAACAATAAAGTGGGTCAGTCCACCAAGAACCACAGCTGGCTCTGCAATACTCAGTTACATTCCCCACCCCCAGAAGCTCTTCAATAAAATGGGGGAAGAAGTGAAAAGTATTTATGTTGAATGTCTGACTCTTGATGTAAGCTCAGGTCATGATCCCCTGGGGTCATGGGATTGAGTCCTGCATCGGGATCTGCACTAAGCACGGAGCTTGCTTAAGATTCTCACACACACGCTCTCTCTCTCCCTCTGCCCCTCAATTCTGCTCATGTGCTCTCACGCTAAAAAAAAA